GGCTTTACTGAAAACAATTCAGCTAAGGTCAGACGCTGAAGTGCAGAGTTCTCTCATCTCGGCAACAGACTTTTATCCCTCTCTAGCCCAATGCGGTGATGGGAAACCCCCTCCCCAGCCCCTTGTCAAACTGAAACCCGCTGAAAAAGGCGTCCGGCGAACATGCTGTTCCAGTTTAAATCGCTCTGGTTTCATGAAGAGGAAGGGTGGGGACGTTAGCTGTTTTCTGGTGACTATGACTCAGACTATGACTAAGATAAGGGAAATAAATGCGAGAACTACCATGGCATAAGCCTCGCCAACGTTTACATGAGGGTGTGTACTGCTATCATGCTCGGGCGATTTCAGTACGCGACTCAATGACGAGACAAATCAACGATGTACCCGAAGCTTAACATGGGTGGCCCGACTACAGATTAACACTACATAGCAGTCTGTAATTCCGCCAAAACTACTAGCAACCGACGGCCGTCTGCTTTTTACAATTCAACGTGGCGTCCGAATCCGTCAATTGTTAGGCCGTGTGGCTGATAGTAGAAGAATACGGTATGACGGTAAAAAACATAGTCTTGTAGTACTATAGCTCGACGACTGCGTGAGTGCTGACCCACAACCTTTCGATATTTCACCTGGCGTTCGATAAGGTTATAGTTCGTCGTCCACACTTTCCAAATGTGGTAATAACTGAAAGGATCTTATCACGGTGTTTAATTTACATCCAGGCACCGTTAGACTGGCCTCGACTACGTTAGTAAAATTCTCCTGTTAATCGCATGCTCTGATGACCTAAAGACTGTGGTATCGAGGGTGAATTTAGACATTAAATTGGTCAATTTATCAATAAAAGGTTAGAGGACTAAAATGCGTCCTAAATACATCATTGAGAAAACTTAAAAACGCATGTGATAAATGTCAGACAACTTGAAGTATGCAGCTTCAAATACCTCGAGGTGAGGCTGTTGCCGAATGGACTGGTGGAAAACTCGGACCTAGCATCAATCCCGGTGTGTTTTTTTGAGTAGCCGACTGGTGGACTGAGTCAGGCTGCAATGACTTCTTAATGTTGTCTCTATGGCACGCTCACTCTCAACTTAAACAAAAATATTCGTTGGTTGCGATAAAGGTACTGGCTACTGGGCCTTGGCAAATCATTATCAATGGGGTGACTAGGATTGTTATAGCCAACGAATGGAAGTATAGAAACTAAAATAAATCTGTCGTTTAATCAAGATTTTTTGCGCAATTAGATCGTAATCTTTTTATACTCGCCTTATACATAGAAAAAAAAGCAAAATCGATAGGATACCTATTTTGCAATTGGTTGCGATCTTGAGTTGAATATAGTCCGAAATATACCAGTAAGATTGAACATTAGGACATCGTATAATGTTTGGATACCAATAGTTTAGTAGTAAATAGTAAATAAGCCATAAATTGCCATTTAAGAAGAGCTCGTACGTGCCATAAAAGTTCTCAATTATCCGCTAACGACTTCTATTAACCAGCGGGTCCTAAATTGACACTGCAAGATTATTGGGAACGCGCATACTCCGCCAAGCAATAAAGACGAGTTCATTAACGCAGCGCCTGTTATATAAGATGAGCAAAATAATAACGAAAAATCATAATAAATAATAAGACGGAATAATAAAGCTCACTGGGAGAAAACATACCCAAAAGACGTGGGCCTGGAGGTTGTCAGCATTGTCCATAGACTTCTTGCTTCGATTGGTGTTGACGCAGTACTTCCCGGTACACATTCAGAAGACTTGCTACTTTGGCTCCCTTCAAAGAACGCCTCTACCTGTGGGCTGGTAAACGAGCACTGTGGAGATCGCTTTGCAGACGTCGGAGAACCCAAGAAACGAACGACAGGTTCAAACTCTTCCGACTGGTTCTTTGCGGCTTCGTTGGTATCCCGAGGGTTCTCAGAAAGCGGCAAGGACTCTGTGCCCCAAGAAGCGTCCGTGGAATCTACCCTGCTGTTCTCGGTCAGGACAGTTGCCTGACTAGCAGGCTGGGTCTCCTCCGAGGCCGGAGCATCGGTTGTGCCGCCCGAAGTAGAGTTGCTAAGGCTTTTTGAAGACGAGACGTCTTCAGAGGTTGACGAGCTGACAACTGCACTTTCACTATCGATCGTCATACAGGTACTTTTGTCGCGTATACTTCGTCGTTGACATGACTTTAACATTCGATCAAGGTTGGTCAAGCTG